CGATTTCCCCAGGGTGCAATTGTGCGGACACTCTATGATACAAGCATAAAATCTCAGTGGTAAAGAGGAGGCTAGACATATGGTAGACTGAGAGCAAGAAGTAGTGATCGTGCCTTCTCTGTTTTACATGACATAACGTATTCCATATGGTAACCGGATATCACGGGAAAGCCGGATGTCTCAAATGATGAGTCAGCCCAGTGAGGCACCCTGCATTTAAATATTATAAGTCGTGTTCCAAGAACTCAAACCACCAGGAACATCTCCTTGTACAACAATGGCACAAGTGAAGCCCAGAAAGGTAACCAAAAGTGAAAGAGAGGAGCAGATTCAGGCAGCATTGCTGCACAGACAGGAGGGAGGAAGGCACCCCATGGGTAACACTCGCATTGGAGCACGGTATTGCAGCATCCATACTGAACGGCCGATGGAAGGGAGTAAGAGAGCAACAAAAGGCTCATTCAGATGAGCAAAAACTTCCTCCCATGGCTGAAAAAGGCTCTGGAACAGTGGTGTCAGCAGCTTGATAATTGGGAATTTCCAAGGAGAATGGATATGTTGAGGGAAATAGCCAACGTTCTGGCTTGCCAGAGAGCTGAGCAAGAAGGAAACTTCAAATTAGCTGTTTTGGGTAAGAACTGGATAACACGCTTCTTGAATCGCCATCTGCAGCTTGCAGAAAAGATTAGTACGCAAATCGATCAGCAAAGAGTCTTTGCCAATAACACTATTACCCTTCGTAATTCAGACACTGCTGCGAAGTCACCATTTCTTACCAGAGAATATCTGGAATATGGATGAAAAAGGATTTATCCTTGGCTTCTCTTCTTGGGCAAATGTGATCTGCCAGACAGCAAGGTGCAATTAGCATAAAAGAAAAGATAGATCCCAGAAGATGTTGACAGTTTTGGAATCAGTCTCAGCAGTTGGAGTGGCCCTTCCCCCCTTTGTTGTTTACAAAGGAAAAGGCCACTGGTATTATATAGACTGGTATCTGGAAACTGATGATCCTAAGACTTGGTTTGCTTATAGCAAAAATGGATGGACGGATGATGAACTTGGACTAGCCAGGCTGAGTGAGCACTTTAAGCCTAAGATCTATACCGAGCACTCTCATCTACTTATCCTTAATAGACATGGGTCACATATTACATATTAGTTCTGTTAGTTTACTTTAGCAAAGAATATTCAGATTATCTGTCTTCCTACTTACTCTATCCACTTACTGCAACCATTAGATGTTGGAATTTTTGGTCTACTCCAGTACCATTATGGGAAGGTGGCTGATACCCACATGCGGGATAATCAAACCAGGTTAAAAAAAGTGACATTTTGGACCTTCTATAGTGAAGCTCATGCTCTTACCTTCCTGCCTAAAACAATTCAATCTACTTTCCAGGCAACAAGTATAGTTTTTTTTAATCCAAATAAAGTGTTAGTAAAGGTGATAAACGTCACCAAAACCACTACTCCAAACTGCCCTGCCACAATTTTTTCCACTCCTCACAACCGCCACTAACTCTGCCAGCAAGCTTTAGCAGCTACAAATCTTTTCCCCTCTTCTCCAACAAGCTCTCGCGAATCCTATCTTGCAGTTGTGCTCTGCTTGGCAGATCTTACTGAGTGTGTACTTACAGAGGTGGAAATTGACAAAGTTGAGACACAAAGACTCCAGTAAGGTTATGAGGACAAGTGGGCAGCTAAAGCAGATCGCCGAGTGCTGTCTAAGGTACAGATTATCACTGAAGAGGAAATTATTCAGCATACGGAGGAGAAGATGGCCCATGATCGGAAAAAGCCAAATCAGGCATCTACCAAAAAAACAAATGGCCCCTTTGCCTCCTTCTACCCTGGCAACATCTTCCTCAGGTCATCATTTGGCACTCAGGGTCCAATTTGTAGATTCTCTGGAAGTCATTGAGCTTCATAGCAACTCTTCCGAGTTGGAGGATGGTTATGAATTCTCAGATCTCTCCAACACCCCTGCTCCCACCCCTTCCCACCATCCAATACTCTCTCCTCTCCTCTCTACTCCTACCAACCCCAATCACAGGCTTCCTGACCACCCATTAGGGATGTGCCTCTGCTCTTGCCCTTAAATTTCACCTTTTACTTCTCTTTTGTGGCCCGTCTCTCTCTGTCTCTTTTTTTTTTTTTTTTTTTTTGGTATGTTTTCACTCTCACCTTCCCTATATACTATTTAAAGCTAATCACCTATCTAGATACATTTACTGGGTTTCTTGCTTTTATTTTCATATTTTTTTGGAGTTAAAATGTTGGGTTTTCATAATATATGATTGATAGAATGGTTGCATTGAGGCTCGCGGTGAGACATCCGGCTTCTCGGTGATATCCGGTATCCCTGTGGGATACGTTAGTGGTGGTTAGGTTCGAAGGGACGGGGGGGTTATGATGGTACTGTACTGTACGAGTACAAGTATCGTAGGTGAGGTGCTAGAGTGAACGTTCGCTGAGCCTTTTCGTTCACTAATTGGATGGGTGTGCCGACCGAGCTGTATGTAAATATCCCAGGTGTCTAATTGCGATCATGACCGTCTCGATATACCAAAAAGATCAAAAGTTGGAAAAAAAATGGGACGTGAATCGATACGGTGTAAATTGATTGACACAGGAGAGAAGCAAAAGAGGCAAAGGATGAACCCAGTTGAGATAGATAGGTAAATTACTCGTCGTACTCGGGCATGCCAGTATGGACGCCAGTGATAAGAAGCCCCCCAAATCCCCACCAGTTCCTCCTCCTGCCAATCCACATCACTACTCGAGTACAGTACCCGTGCAACACTTGATATCATACCCACGCTGCAAACAGTGGTAGCTTATCATAAAAGTGCTTTTTACACATGTCCGGGATTCTGATACCGTAATCTTAGAGGCAGACCCCATCCAACATGGCAGGAAATGGTATTTCCCTGTGAAATGGCGGGGGAATGAAGAATGGAATTACCGGTCTATCGTACTATACCCGGCTTGTAGGGGAGGAAGCCGTTGCAAGTTTCCGGTATGATAACACCGGGGGGCGTGGGCATGGTGCTCGCGCGGGAGCGCGATGGACATGATAATATTATAGGGTAAAAGACAACACACCTCCACCTCCTTCCTTTCCTTTTGGGAGTTCTACTTCTACTCTACTCACTCCGGCTGATCAAAAAGCTTCCTCACATTCGTCGCTCAAAACCCCGAGCACCCCATCCACCACTTTAAGTGGGAACGCCCCTCCGTTACCACCTCGTTACTGGCCCTTGGAAGCGATACCCGATACCGAACTCAGTACTTGTAGTCGGTAGATGTCCTCATTCGCAGTCGTAATACAACCCTTCTTTCCTCCCGCACACCAGACTTTATTCTTTTGGCCGGGATTGGTAGAAGGAGATGAAGGCAGAGAAGAAATAAAAAGGCAAAGCCGAGTTGAAGTGTCACCCCAAAGCTTAGAAGATACTGGAGTAGTCTTTCTATTGATGGTGTGGGTCTAGTAGGGTCGCTGACCTCGAGGTCTGACGAACGAGGATACGGTGATGCCCTCCTGCTCATGACCAGACCAGTGGGCACTGCCCATATGAACGGCGAGGCAGAGTAAGATGATGGATTTCAACATTCTGAATTGGTGTGAGACCCGAGTTCGAGGCTTTCAAAGACGGATGGCGCTAGCGCCAAAAGTTCACCGAAAAGTTTTGTTTCATCGTCACTCGCAAGCGCTGCAAGCGCGGCAGGTTTAAAGCTACTTGGGGCAGGCCTGTGATCGGCTAAGGTTTGGAGGGGGACGACTTCGCCAGAGTAGGCCAAGGTGACAAGGTTGTCGTCAATGGTGGCTGTAACGAAGCCGTGGGTGGTCGTGACAGGCGCTGCGTCTTTCGGTGCCACAGCGTCTTCGCCGACTGTGGGGAATGAGGTGGGTGCTTGGCGTGTGGTGGAAGATTGTTTGGTGGAGGATCGTAAGGTGGAGGATCGTAAGATGGAGGATCGTAAGATGGAGGCCAGTTTGGTGGAGGATCTTTTGGTGGAGGATCTTGAGGTGGAGGATCGTGTGGTGGAGGGCGCTGAGGTGGTTGGTTGCCTCTCAACGCCGTGAATTCGTTCCAGCCGTTTCGAAAGGCAATCTCAAGAGCATTTAAACCGAGTTGGTCCCCCGGACTGAGGATCGTGTTGAAAGTTTCCAGGAGGGCTATTCTCCTGGTTGCTTCCGGGATCAATGCGGCGTCGGGGATATTCTCCCCCGGAAAGAGCTGTCTTGCCCTCTCAGCCGCATGCAGAACCAAGTTGTTTAGTTCTTGATTGGAATCGCTATTCTTGCGGATTCAAATTTTAATTTTTTTTTTTGCTCAAGTTTTATCATCACTTTGACGAACGGGCGCGGAAAAGTCGTCATATATATATATATCCCTGTTCGTTTCCGAGTAGACTAATGGGCTTCCTTCCTATCATATCATACCTGGGGAGATGTTTTCGTCCAGGGTGAGGACCATTTTGCAGATTAACCTAAATTAACTATATTCACTACCCTTCCAATGGGCACTTGTTTTGCTACTATCATACTAAGCGACCAACTGGCTGGCTGGCTACTATGATATTGTGTAGACTAAAATACACGCAAAAGGGGTTATCAGATGGATAGAAAGGCGAAATGAATGGGGGTGAACGAGATGAAAGTATAAAGTATGCCAGAGTCCAACTAAATCCCCCCCTTCCCCTCCTTCCCACTATGGGTTTCTTTCCAATAAAGAGTAAGCCAAGCTACTCGGTCTTAGGGTTGTGAAGGTGATAAGAAATTGTCTTTTTTTTTTCGATGAAAACTGGATTGATAGAGAGGAGAATGAGAAAAAGGAAAATGAGAAAAAGGAAAGAAAAAAAAGAAGAAAAGAAGAAAAAGAAGAAAAAAAACTCCGAAGCCCATTGAATTGAAAAATGAAACTGTGTACAGGGAATCAAGCCAAACCGAAAAACAGCAGGTGATTAAGCAAATGCGTTTCTTGTCCACGAAGGCTTTAAATGCGCGATCGGGATTTTTGAGAGTTGTGGTGGAACATTGTTTTGAAACCCTGATCACTTTTTGTTAGAGCGTTGGCGGTATAGGGGAGGGGGGATGTAGGTAAAACTTACGTTGCAGAGTGTCATGACATCTGGGAATGGAGTGTCCCTGAGCTGGAAGGCATGGGGGATGATTTTGACGGGCTATGAGAAGTGTTAGTGAATGTGGAATGCTATCGCATCAGGAGATATCTTACCCAGCTTCCTATGCGGGCATTGGCGCCGGCCTTATAGAGCAAGTGAAAGTAGCCTGGACGCTGGGTGTCAAAGCAAAAGCCATACATTGACCTCTTCGGGTTGGCTTCGCAGTATTTTTCTAACCATTTTTCTGTGAAATATGAGTGTGTGTGTGTAAACGTGGTTGTAACAAAGGGATACATACCAGCTTCTGCTTTTGTTCCCTGAATAAACTTCGAATGATGACTCAGTTCGTCCACCTTTTTGGCCATAGCCTTGACGTGCGTGACGATCAATTCGTCCAAGTCACTATACGAGAACTTGCCGGATACCTTTAGCGTTTTACCAACAGTAAACTCATTGTCTTTATCCAGTTCGAGCACGTCTATATGCTGGTAGATGCCATCGGATACCTTCCAGGTAACTGCGATATGGTCCGGACCATTGGAAGAGGGCCGAATGATAGCATCGCCGCGAGATTGGCCAGCTAGGAATTCCTGCGCTTGCCTGCTGTTGTACGGTTTAAAAAGGGGATGTTTTATAACCCTGGCTGTGCGTGTCTGCTCCTGGTTGACCACTGACAATCTTGCTTTGTCTCGCTCCTCCCGTACATCATCCCATTCGTCAGGTAAGAACTCGATCCGCTTGACCAATGGGTTCCTAATCTTGTCTTCGCGGAAGGAGAGTTCTGAGAAAAAGGTTTCCTCATTAAGCTTTTCAATCCTCGCCTGTACCGTCTGTCCAACATGGTAGAAATTGGTTGGGAGAAAATGAGAAGAGCCATCGTGCATCTCATCCAATGAGACATTTCCATCTATTCCGCAGGCGAGCCGAACAGCACAATACCTATCCGTAACTCGCCTAATGGCAACTGGAACGACCATGCCGGCGGCCAATGTCTCTTTCGTCTCACCAGTGAGCATAGTGAATATTTCGTCGGTGCTGAGCTTCTGGTACTTGTTCCGAAGCTCCTCGTAAGCATGTTGTAATTCTGCTCTGATAGTCTCGAGAGTGGCACGTTTCTTCTGATTGAAGTTGCGCTCGAGTTCCTCAGCATAATCCTCAAGACTGAGCTCGTTTACCTTCTCATCCTGCCCGTTGATGAGCTCGTTGATAACAGCGCCGGCACCACCTTCTGTCACCATGGTCGCAACATCCTCCTCGTCGATATCGAGAGCATCTGCGGCCATTTTACGCCCCAAGTCATAATCTTCGGGATGTACTCTGGTATTGTCGAGGTAGTCAGAGTTTCGGTCTGCTGGATCGTGGGGTATAATAAGGAAACTAGCACAGTTGATAAAGACCATAGGTCCGACAACTGGCAGAAAACCCCTGTCGCGATCTCCGAGCAATTCAAGACGACTTGATACTCGTCCGCCCTGTTGACTAAATTAGTGATTGAATAGCTGGGTATTGAAATTGGGACTTACGTTTGCTTGGACAACCTTCATGACGCTAACTGCCTTTCGGGGACCGAAGCCACAGACGTACTGAAGCAAGTTTGCAACATATGGCTTGCTGGCAGCTTCGTTGAGATCCACACCAACCAGATTCACCATATCCACCATAGCAGTCTCAAGAGCTTTCTGGAGCTTGTGCTCGGGCAAAAGCTGTTGTGCTGGGTGGAAGGCGATCGAGACAATATCCTTACCCAATGCAGCGTATTCCAAGAGTGGGTTCTGGACATATTTAGCAAGGGCTACACAATATCGCGAAAGCGGTGGAAGTTCCGGATGGTCTAGAGCAGCACGGTCGCTGTTCTGGTATAGACGAGCTACCTCATCGTTCACCAACATCACCTCAGTCGGGGATCTATCGTCCACTTCGTCACCGACAACATTAATGTCCTCCTCCTCGACGATACCACGAATCTCCTCAACAAGTTTATGGGTTTGTACACTGAACCCTGCCACAGCGATAACATCGGGTTTACGGCGGTTGAGAACTTCAATAAAGTTAGTTCGAGACGTGTCATCCTTGAGATCAGTAAACTTGACGGTCTCGAGAAGCCTTCCATCTTCGTCCCTAAAGACACCGACGATAGCATCCCGGCCTCTCTCTCCGTATCCATTCGAGAAGGCAAAGACTCGCGGGATTTCACCAAGTTTCAATGCTTTCGGCTTATAGGGCGCTTGGTCGAGTTTCTACAAGAATAATTAGCTCATCGTTTTTTTTAGAGATTGAACGGGGAAATATTACCTTAAGATAGGATCTACGGCAATCGGCCGCAATAGAATCCTCGCAGGCAGTTCGTAATTCGTCCTTGATGGCTTTTTGAAACATTAACTTAAACTTTCCCATCGCCATGTCAACGACTTCCTTTCGTTCCTTGTTCCAAGACTCTGCGATATCGCTGACGTTTTCAGATGTCATGTACTCGTATAGTCGCCGAGTGAACTTGTCTTCGCTCTCTAGATTGACATCTACGTTGACATAGCCTTCTTGCTCAGCTTTCATCATACGCAGGTACATTGCAGGATGTACTGCAATCGACTGGATAGTTTGATTCCTGAGATATTTGAATTCCTGTGGAAAATTAGCATTTTAAGAGAAATTTGCGGAGAGGGTGTCTACATAGTATTGATGCTGCTCATCAATCTGGCGGACGCCCTTCTCCGTCACGTTAACGTGAATTGTGCCTCTCGTGAACCATTTGTCTCTCATTGACCTCCTTAAAGTCGGATTTGTGAAAAGCTCTTCAGCGAGCATGAGCTTGGCTGCTTGCAATACCGACTCCCCAGTCGGGAACTCGGGATCGTCGATGTACTGATCTGAGATTGCATGGGGATAGTTGTGAGGATCCTCGGCGTATTCACGCTTTTGGTCGAAGCGTACATTCATCGCAAACTGCGCTGCAGATAAACCGAACGCACGGACCATACCGTAAACCTTTCCATTACGGATACGCTCATAGATAGTCTTACTACTCCCAGGCCTCCTATAGCCGTTTCCGCGACCCTCACCGTTAGTGATAGCCATGTCTTTCAGTTGGGAGTGATAGCGGAAATGAATGTAATCGTGCAGATCCTGTATTTGCTCAATAGTCTCCGTGCGCTGGAGTCCAGTTTCTGCCTCCATATCATCCGAGGTATCCGTAACAATTTTGAGATTGGAATAAGTTCTCTCATATGCCCGACATTTATCAAGGAAGGCCCTGAACTTAAGGTCCAATTCAAGAATCTCCCAAAGATCGTCTTGCGTGAGGAGTTTGGTAGCTTCAATCTCGTATCCAGTTTCCCCATCGTTGTGACGACGCGTAGGAACCCTCTCTGTATGGATCAGGTAATCCTTCCTATGCTGGTATATGAATGGAACTTCCATCTGTTCGATCACAATGAACTCTAACACACTCCTGATCGTTTTCATCAAAGGCTCCTCTTGGTGTGGGGGCAAGTTCTTTTTAGCTAGAACAAACTTGGAGATCCATTCAGTTTCCTCCTCGAGTTCCCTTTCACCAATCTTGAGATGTGCAAACGGCCTCCTGGCCAACTGAAATCGCTCCGGCTCGTCAGTTTGGCGGATCACATTATCCTCGTCCGTAAGCATACGCTCCGCCAACTCGCTCGGTTCGAAAACATCCTTCAACTCCAACTCCTTTTCCCTACTCTCCTCTTCTTGTTCTGGATCGTCCTCTGTCACAAGCGCAAAATCGTATTCATCACCTCTTCCGAAGATATCGTGCATATCCGAGATAGCACCCTCACGTAACCCTAGGCGTTGGGGAGCGTAGCTTCCTTGGTGCTGATTACTCTCTCTTCTCCGCCGTCTGACCATTTGCATGTCATCGTCGCTTCCGCCCCCGCCGCGTTCGTCTTCGGACATCTCATCCTCTTCAATGAAGTCTTCAAACTCATTCTCACCACCGCGGCGATTATCGAGGCCCTCGTCGTCATCGTCGGGCTCACCAGGTGCGTCTTCTTCGTCGGAGAAGATTTCTTCTAGGTCGCGAGAGTGTTGTCGGCGGCGCTTTTCGGCATCTTCTCTTCCACGCTTCAATCGTTTGAACTTACTCTTGAGAAAAATCCAGTATGTAAGTTTGAGACGCTATTGTAGTAGTGGTGGGGGGAATGATGAATTGGACAAGACGGACCTGGCTAGATCTATCAATCTCGTGACCGGTATTCTCCAAGACCAAGTCAAGATCATCTTCGTCTAGGCCTTCCTCCTCCTCATCCTCGCGATTAGATCGTCTCCTCTTCTTCTTGCGCTTCTTGACCAGAACCATAGACCCGTCCGCCTGCTCTTCCTCCTCGTCTTCTTCCTCATCGTCAACGATAAAGCCTTCGCGAATCTGTATCTCTGATCAGAAATGCACTCCCTATAGCTCAACAAGGGGGCTGGGACAACCTTTGCCGCCTCTTCGTCGTCATCATCGTCCTCTTCCTCGCTGCTATCGTCAAAGTCTTTCGGCGGTTTGTTCGGTTTGTCGGCTTTTCTGCGCACTTCGCCGGTGTCCTCATCGAATTCTTCCTGATCCAGCTCATCGTCATCATCCATTTCTGCTTCACGATCAATGAAGCTATCGCGCATATCCATGAATTTTGCTCAGTTGTCTGGGGGTTTTTTTTCTTTCTTTTTGGCTACTTTTTTATGGGCAGATTTCTCGGGACTTTGCGACCGGTTACTCAGCGGCCGGGCGATTGTAAATAAGAGGAAAGGAAGAGGGCACGGCGAAAGGTGAATTGAGGGATAGGAGAAAGAGCTGGGAATGAGTGAGCTTATATAGCTAGAAGGCCAAAGGGAATTTTAAGGCCGGGTAAGACAACTTTGAACTCAATAGAAAAAAAATATGATACCCTAACTTGCACAAGCCTTGAAGGCCTCTGTCCTCTTGTCCCATTGAGGTTGGCCGACACAGTGTGCCCAAAAATACGCATTTTTAAGGGTATATTATATCACATAATTGTTGCAATAACATTATTTATTTACCCGAAACCTGACAACCAATGTGACTATTGACCAATGTAAACAAGCCTATCATAATATTATCATACATACAGTAGGACTGCAGTAGTGAGCTGTACACTCGAGTGAGATAATATAAAAGTAGACATGAATCCTTCGTACTCAGTAACTTGCAGCTATCCAAACTGTCTACCCATCTACCCATCTATTTACACTTCAAGATCCTATCCATATTGCCAGCATTATCATGTTCAAAACCCCCACACCTCGAAAGATGCCAGTGCCCGATACTAGGATAGTGTGGCCCAGGACTACGAGTCCGGAGAATCTACAAGAAAAAGGCTGGATATGTAAGCCCTACCGAGCTCCTGTCAAATCTGTAAGAAAAGCCTTCGTTTGTTGACACTGAAATTCCCTCCAGGCAACTGCAATCCTAGGTTTGAAAACACCATGAATCTTCCAGCATCAAGTTTATAAATTAAAAGATTATTTAATCGAACGAACACAATGTCATGAACTAATATCATCAACCATGAGGGTTCAGGGTCCCGGCACCAGTACGCACAGCAAATACGAGTAAAAATCGAGGCAAAAAATGTGAGTGTTGTCTAGAGCCCGAAAGCGATATGTTTTTTTCCCTAATGCCCATTGCGAGGAGATAGTCTACTCCTGCGTGAAAGACAAGGACAATTTGCCTTGCAATTTCTTCATCTGGGTAGAAGAAGCTCAGGTGGTGGCAGCGGCAGCAGCACCCCCAACAACTCCAAAATATCTGCAATCACTGCTATCGTGGCCCACCTCACCCTCAAGACATGTGGCCCTCAGAAAAACAAGGTCCGGTACCCGTTACGCTACAGAAACCACCTCTCCTGCGCTTCCCCCCTCCAAAGCCCCAGCCCCAGCCCCATCACCTTCTTCCTCCCTAGCCAAGCGTCGGCGTGAGTCGTCGCCCTCTAATGAAGCGTCAGAACAAAAGCCTAGCCCCCACAAACACCATAGGCCAAACCGGGTGACGAAAAACCCCTATTCAACCAATCACCCCTCCAGGGTCTCCACTCCCAAACCTCCTCTTCCTTCTACCCCTTCCTCCAGAAAGGCCGCAGGAGTAATCACAGGAACGTGGGACCACCGCTCCATCGCCCCGCCCCCTAGCGAGACGGATCTAGATGGATGTGGCAGTGATAACGCCACAGTCACGCCTTCGCTCTCACCAAATCCGTCCCCCCGCCGGCGGCTCTTCACCTCAGGTAGCGGACCAACCACCCCACCAAGAACAGCCGCGAATACGAGAACCGCTTCGCGGACGCCGGGGTCCCGGACAACCCCGTTTTACAAAGGCGTCCTGAGCAGCCCCGGCCGTGGAGTCCGGTTCGACGTGCGAACGGCAGTGTCCGAGTTCGTTCGTGCCGAGGGGATCGACTTGAAAGGGGCCGGAGATAAACTTTGGGACATACTGGAAAGAGAAGTTAAGCAGAAGGAGGGCGTATGTAAAGGGTATGGATTTATCCGTGATCACAGAAGTTTTTCGACTAACTGGGGTATGTGAGGGGGTTTTCAGGAGGGAGATTGCTAGAACAGCGCATCAGAGGGCCACTGCTGTGATCGCGGGCTTGAATCGTCGAATTGCAGAGTTGGAGAAGGAGATGAATGAAGTTAGGGCCGCGAATTTGAGGTCTATCGTTGCAATAGAAACCAGGCTTAGTAAGTAACTGATCATAGGCTGCCGTTCCTACGGGAAGCGAGGTTGTATGCGGTGATGCTGACATTGTCCGTATGATAGGTAATGCGGGTTTGGAATCTCAAGCCTCAGGTAATTAGTATTAAGTTGTTGTTCAGAGATCCCCGTAGCGGTGTATCATTAGAAAATTAGATCCCAGCATAGGCTACTGCGGGCCCCTGCATAGCTTATATTTTGGCTTGTTATCTTATGTTACTTTGAGGTCAATTAAGAATGAGATGTATGTCGCTTTGCCTGAGAAAAAGGTGCAGAGGGTTAGAGTATTGCCGAAGATGTGAGAAGAGAATCAAGAGATGACTCGAAGTGCCGCATATTTGTTATCACTGTGCTTGCTGGTCTGTGAGCGTAGAAAAGAAAAGAATCACTTGCTCAACTTACTGTATCTGTCTGCCAAGGTCAATGATAGGAACTGTGGGTTATTGTTCCTCCCCTCTCCTAGGGATGTGTGGAAGGTCTATTGGGATCTTTTAGAGGGAGTAAAGTTGATCGCTTCGCAAGGGAATTGACCCTGCCCGATCTCATTCTTTGATGATTTATTACAGCAGCTATAATTCGAGATTGGCAGAAAGTCACCGGACACTCCAAGGCCAAGGGTGAGTGATATCGGGTGATGTAATGTTTGGCCAATAGCAGTGCCATGGAATCTGACAATCGAACCATGCGCTATGTCGATCAAGTTGTCTCCTTCCCAGTGAGGTTTGATGTTTTCTCCTTATTTGTCCAGGAAAGCAGGCTTTTTGCCCCGTTTCTGGCGGGGGAAATTTTGGACTACCTATAAAAGCACATGGTCCATTTATTCGGGATCTCACGGTATTTGTTTGGCTGCTAAATGATTCAAGTCGCTGGTGATTCACTGAATATGTACTAAACCTGCTTCTGGCCACTTCTTCTCATCCGACACTTTTAATAAAGCCCTCGGCCTATCAAACTCACATCAAAGAGTTGCAACATGAGCTCAACAAACTCGCGCCCCCTCCCATTATTCATGCCCATTAACCTATGGTAACGCTCCCCCTCAAGTATCCCCAAGCGCTAGTGTCCCCCACTCCGAATCTCATCGATACACTTCTTCCGATTGTCGTTATCCGCAAACAGCGCTTTGACAAGATCCACCAACTCCTCCGTTTCAAACCCCTCCAAATGCCCTTCTCTAAACATGTACAAGATATCCGCGATCCTGCTATCTAGGATTTGCTGCAGGAACCGGAATTTGAGCCAGTTCTTGCAGTGGAACCCGGTTGTGGAAACTCCTGCTCCACCCGGCGCATCGGGGAATAGGCTTTCCAATGTCGCAATTTCTTCAAAGAATGTACATATCTTCTCGGAGTCGGCGGCTGGGATGTCGGGAATGTCCTCGATGTCGTTGATAAGTTTGGTGACAACAGTATTCAGAAGTAGGCCGACAGACTGAAAGAGTACTGATGGCGAAAGCACTTGGGACCAGCTAGTGTAGATTCCATTTATCCGAGCGACTACTGATGAGATCGCTGTTTGGCAGTCTGCCGATTGGGGGAAGTTGGTGCAGCCCACGAAACCTTTCGCACCATCGAGAAAGTCGCATAGTACCGTTCGTTGAAGGCCTATCTCCTTGGAATAATGGCGTTTGCCAAAGGATTGGATAATATTGATGTCAGTATCCCAGTTATTGTTTGGGTGGGTTAGCTCTACCGTGACCTCTAAGTCTTGTAACTGTTCGGCTATTCGAACACAGTCGTTATAGACGTACATGTTAGATGATATATTAGTGGGATAGGAAGTCGGTGCTAGTGCCCGGTAGGCGGCGAGTACGAGAGAAGGAATCGACAACATGCCAGAAGCAGCTGGCGTGACGGCAGAGGGGGGCATATTTGATAATCGCTTCGCTTCGTCGGCTACTCGCACGATAATCTCCATGATTGCATCGGGTATTGAGGTAATTGTGTAGCTTTCCCTAAGTGTGATGTCCCCAGAGTGAGAACTCGAATATCTTATCGCTGGCTTCGATTCCGTTGGTTTCTTCGCCGGGGCTGTGTCGGAAGCTGCCATAGACTCTCGGGCTTCGATTCCTGGGTCGTCTTCTCCCCATTCCCCCCAATCAAGGTTATCCAAACCATCCTCCTCAGTTGGGACATCTACTGGCTGGCTAGATTTCTCATCTTTTTGCTCTTCGTCTTCGATGTCGATATCCTCGTCTAAGCCCCAACCGCTAGCATCATCGTCGTCCATGTCGATTTGCAGCGAATCCGCTGCGGCAGCAGTATCTACAGGCGCGTCCTCATATCCCCACCCGCAATCGTCATTCCAGACATCCATTGGGGCACCTACTGATTTCCTTCTTTCGGTGGGGGAAGCGACCTTCATCTCTTGTGTCTCTGTTCTTTCTACGACCTTAACATCACTAGTCCCACGTGATAATATTTGCCTGGCTTTGTCTAGTGAAGTTTCTTTTCTCTTTGACAGCCATACTTTCGGCGCCCTCTCAGTCCATTCTCGCAATTCTGTCTCTTTCGTCCAAGATATCTGGTGCAAAAACTTTTCAAATTCTCTCGTTTCTTTGAGAAGCGCTTCAAATTTTGGTAAATCGTCTAACGATGAGGGCACAGAGGATGATAAAGAAGACATTAATCGCGTAGTCAGGTTGGCTATAAAGATACGGGAGAACAACGGGGTAATTCCCGATGGAAGGTTTCTGTTGAAGAAGGTAATCAGCTGGCGTAGGTCGTTAAACATGCGCGTTGCACTTAGGTCGTTGGTGTTTCCACCCATGCATATGGAATTCCCTGCCACCGAGAATGTAGGAGCTGAGCCCTTTATCGAATCGAATCGAGGAGCGACAAGTAATTTATCGATTTGGTGATGCAAGTGATCTATTTTCCCGTTGAGAAGATCCAGTTTCTTCAGAGCTTCAATGACACTTTCGACCAGTGGACAGGAGCCTTATATCTAATATTAGTTTTTTGGGATTAAAGGCCCGGATAATTTTTCCTACCTGCCGCATCTCTGTCGATCGAAATCCCGCCCTTTCCGGGATTGATTCTCAAAAGATACCTCCAGCAGTCCTCTAATTTGTTAACTAGCATAGATCTCAAGCCCTTCGCCTTCTCTTTCATTAAGCTGATAACGATCGTTTCTCCAGACACGGGCAGCTTTTCTAGAGCAACCTCGACATTATCGAGGGCCTCAATGGCCTGGCACAATTCCCCAGTATTCAGTAAATGCTTGACTTGATATAAGGTGAGGTCAATTAACTGTAGCTTTGATAATATCTCTGCTAAAGCCTCGTTGAAATTGATCTCGGATACTAGTAATCGAGCCTGCATAATGGAATCTTCAAGTTCTAGATTAAGCCGTTTCTCCTGTTCCGCTAGCTGTACTATTTCGTCTGCCTTTGTTTTGGATGATTCGATATCTTTGTGGAGTCCTCGGGCTTGGGATATCCATGAATCAACTTCAGGTCCGCTTTCTCGGCTGACTGTTCGCACCCCATCCTGGTAACATTTAGTATAGATTGTTATGAGCACAAGTTGAGGGAAAACTGTACATAGAGGCTTTCTCGAGCCTTTTGTAGGGGGGCGATAATTTCCGGGAGTGCTGAGGCTTCGAGGACAGCTCCCGCGACGTCATCAGAATCCGGATATGAGCCGTCAAGGACTGAGCTAAGAACTGCATCTGCTAACTGGGAGGGTTTTATTTTGGAGGATGCCATGCCAAGGGCTATTTCGCGATGGAAGATGGTATAGCGGCTTATAGCGGTAGAGGGAGCAGTGCACTTTAGGACTGACTTCAAGAAAAGATCACCATTAATACTGTAATTGCTTGGGTGCTGGATGCGGCACCCCTAACCCTTAGTGGACTCAAAAATCTGATAAGATAATATATGGACCAAGGGTTGAGAGATACTATCCTCTAACGTCCTAAATTTTTGATGCGGTGAAGGAGAAGGTATCATAATAATAATATTATTATGATACTAGTTTACTGCCCATTCATCTCATCATTGGAAGTGAATGAGGTTTTAAGGGCTTCGACTAGTTACGGATGTCCTCGCGGCTCAGCTTTTGGCATGATAAGGGTTAGGGCTCAGGCTGGTCAAAGCTTCTTACTTTCTCTGAGCTATCCTACGAGTCCGAGATAGGACTCGCATGGCGCAGGCAGTTTGTCTCTACCATAGTAGGCTACGAATAACTGATCCTGATTGCGATACTACCAGACTACCTCACCCCCGACGCCAAAGGAAATACTCTTGAGCTTCATCCTTTATGCACTTAACGTCATACGCGCAGAATATCCCGGCCCTTGTTCTAGTGAACCCTTGAGAGGATAAGATGGGTCAAAATTATTCCGCCCTCCCAGATCGAAATGTCGGCGGTGCTGGTATCGATATTGCCGAGCTTTCCGACATCAGTTACGAGAAATCCTTAGGGACTAGCCGTTTCTTAAAAACAATCAAGGCGAAACATGCGGATGGCGGCCTTGTTGTGATCAAGATTTTTCTGAAACCAACACCCAGCTTCTCGCTAGAAGAGTATCGCATAAAACTTGAACGTATCACACCCTTTCTCTCTTGAACGTTCCGGTTTAGGGTTCTGACAAGGTTATAGGTGAACAAGAAGCCCTAGCCGATATACCGAACGCCTTATCCCACCAACGAATCATAGAAACCGAAAGAGCGGGTTACCTGGTTCGTCAATACTTGTACAGCAGTCTCTATGATAGAATTAGTACTCGGCCGTTCTTGGAGGAGATTGAGAAACGCTGGATTGCCTTCCAACTTCTTTGCGGCCTTCGTGATTGTCATGCTAGGGGTGTTCATCATGGGGATATAAAAACTGAGAATGTTCTCGTCACATCTTGGAATTGGATCTATCTCTCCGATTTCGCCAAATTCAAACCAACCCAGCTTCCGCAGGACAATCCTGCGGACTTCTCTTACTTTTTTGACACCTCCGGGCGGAGAATATGTTACGTCGCCCCAGAACGGTTTCTTGATGCTGGGGAAATAAGTGGGGATGCGAGTGTTACGGATGAGATGGACATATTTAGCTTGGGATGTGTTATTGCGGAGCTATTCTTGGAGGGTACCCCCTTGTTTAACCTGTCACAGCTCTTCAAACACCGAAGGGGTGAGTATGACCCCTCTCAAACTTACCTTGGGAAGATCGAAGACCCAGAAATCCGCAGCTTAGTTGAACACATGATCAACCTTGATCCTACTAAGCGGTACTCTGCGGAGCAGTATCTGAACCTATGGCGCCGGAAAGCGTTCCCGGAGTATTTCTATAGCTTCCTTCATCAATATATTGGGTTTATTACGGATCCAAACCCTGGGCGGGTATCTGCTTCTCCGGAGGACCAGGGAACAAGGACACAGGCAGACGATAGGATCAATAGGATTTATCACGATTTTGACAAGATTTCTTTTTTCCTTGGATTCGATACATCAGAAGAGGCTGCAGTTCCTGAAAAGAGAGCAGCCTCTAAAAATGGCATAATACCTGTTCGTCTAGATATCCCAAACTACCAACGCCACTCATCCGCGGTGCGGAGGCGACCGGTGAGCGCTGATGATGGTACCCTTATATTTTTGAGTCTTATTGCGTCGTCAATAAGAAACACTTCAAGAGCAACAGCAAGAGTGCGAGCGTGTGATATATTTCTCGCATTTGCAGAAAGGATTACCGATGAAGCGAAACTGGACAGATGTTTACCTTACCTTGTTGCGTTACTTAACGATGATTCGGTTATCGTCCGAGTGGCTGCTGTGAGGACAGTTACCCAGCTGGTATGGCTCCTGGTTTTCTACAGGAATCTCACATACCTTACTTTATTAATTGTTCGAATATAGATGGAGCTTGTTGAAGTCGTTACCCCTGTTAATGCGCACGTATTTCCCGACTACATTTTACCAAAACTTCAAAATTTCGCCTCTCATAATAATCCCCTCATAAGAGCAACATACGCCTCTTGTTTATCTTCTCTCGCCGATAGTGCTTCGAGATTCCTTGACATGGCTCAAGCTCTCCGCGCCGATGGGTCTCTACCTACAGCAGACCCGGAGGCTGAGGATGGATCCGCCATAGGGTCAGCATTTCAGGCTCTTTTTGACCTGTCTAGGAACGACTTGGTTATTTATTTCCAGGAGCACTCAAAGCTGCTACTCACAGACATTGATTCTGGGGTCCGAAGGTCGTTTCTCAGATCTGTATCTAGGCTCTGTGTTTTCTTTGGAACTAGCAAAGCCAACGATGTCATTCTAAGTCACCTGAACACTTATTTGAATGATAAAGACTGGCAACTTAGGAACGCATTTTTTGAGACTATTACCGGCGTAGCAACATATGTTGGGGTTACTGCTTTGGAGGAGTACATCATGCCGTTAATGGTACAGAGTCTCACAGACCCAGAGGAGTTTGTTGTGGAGAAGGTCCTTCGTTCCCTTGCCAATATGGCGGAGCTTGGACTGTTCCAAAGGAGTAAGATATGGGAACTTATTAACGTGGTCGGTCGCTTCATGATGCACCCTAATATATGGATTCGCCAAGGTAGGTTCCCAGGTCAAAAATACCCTAGCATAGAGTAGAGCGAGTATCGGTACTGATGTTCCTGTCAAGGTGCTGTAGCGTTTATTGCTACCGCGAGTAAATGGCTGTCGCCGGCCGACATACATTGCATTGTGAACCCAACTGTGAGGCCATTTCTAAGGGCTGATGTCATTAACATCTCTACGTTGACTATGCTTGAACACCTCCAAAAACCAGTATGTTGCATCCCAAACCAACTATCTGATATCAAATTGTTTACTTGAGCAGGTATCTAGGCATGTATTTGATATGGCGGTCACCTGGGCTACACAGTCGAAGAAAGGGTTATTCTGGCAGGGCGCACAGGAGCAGAGAACCTTTTCCTTTGGGGCAATAGGTGATTCACTGCCAAGGGTTCCGGTACATGATTTCCAACCAGGTGGTTTTGCAAAGGTCCCGAAGAATGAGGAAGATATCAACTGGATTGAGAAGCTAAGAAATTTGGGCATGGGCCCTGATGATGAATGGAAGGTCATTTCTCTGAGGGAGTACATATGGAGAATGGCTTTATCAAAGCCGCGATTACTATCTAATGAAAATCCACCACTGGCGAAGAACACAATTTCACTCCAAGATCTTGGCATCACACCACACACAGTATTTTTTGATGAAAGCCAATCATTCTTCAATCTGAATATGCAAACAACGGATGCTGTTACTGGGAATCCCCGTCCGGCCACCATAGCCGATGCTCTCTTGGACGCCTCTAGGACTATCGATAATTCTGCTCGAAGAACACCCTCTCGATTACAATCGAAGCGCTCTACGGGCGTAGATATTACGGACATAATGCGGTCCCGTTTTAACTCAGAGGCTGGGATCAGCCATTCGGGTTCCGGATCTCCAACTACTTCCAGCCCGGCTGGTTTTGACACTGAGAGTGCTCCAGTATCAGGGTCATCTACGCCATTGGCTGTGCCGCCCGTGACTATTACTGGAAGCAACGAGTCGTCTACTGCAGCGAGTTCAGTGGAAAATGGAAACCCCCTTCGCCGTAGGCCGAGCACATTGAGTCTCTTGGCAAGAAATGCAGAGGCGTCTAAAGCTGCCCCGGAAACTAGCACCGTTTCTGCGACAGCGTTCGGTAGAGTGGAGCATCCGTTTGCGAAGGGTGGCGACCTAAGCCTACCCAAAACTGCCGAGACTGTCCCCGAGCCTGGGGAATTCGATTTTAGGGCAGCCCATTCCTATGGTAAGATAGACCCCGGGAGTGGGTTCTATATCTGGCGAAGCTGACAAGAAAAATAGAGGGAAATGACCCACATATTTTGAAACTGTTAGACTCTATGTATCTTCAGAATTACCCTAGTGACATACTCGAGTTCGGCCCGACAATAGTTCCAGTTCAGAGGAGACAACCGATCAAGAAGAGTAGCGGTCGCCAAGCGGGAGGAGGAATATGGAAACCAGAAGGGGTTATGGTAGCCCAGTACGGTGAACATGCAGCTGCCATCAACAGAGTCATCGTTGCACCTGATCATAATTTCTTCTTGACTGCTTCTGACGATGGCACAGTTAAAATATGGGATTCAAGCAGATTGGAGAAGAATGTGACGTTTAAGGCTCGGCAAACCTATAAACATGGCACCGCAGGAACAGTTCAGGTAAAAGCACTATGTTTTGTAGAGAACACGAGATGCTTTGTTAGCGGCGCGAGTGATGGTACAATTCACGTCATCAAGGTCGACTTTCAAATGACAGCGACAGCAGTTAAGTACGGCAAGTTGAGGCTCATGAGGAACTGGCAGCTGCCGGAGAAAGGAGAGTCTGCCGTCTGGATGGAGCATTTCAAGGCGGGTAGGTTATATGATCGCAATTGCGTGAAGAATCAATAAATTTATTATCCTTGTTTGCCGACCCGGCTTTAATCGGCGGCTAACTTATACGCAGATAATCACTCGATTCTGCTCATCGCAACCAACTTATCAAATATACATGCATTAGACCTTAGGACAATGCGGATCTTGTATACTTTGAAAAATCCTGTGTTCCATGGAACTCCTACTGCTTTCTGCATCGATAGGCGACACAACTGGCTAGTGCTTGGGACATCCCATGGTATACTTGACATGTGGGACCTAAGATTTCAGCTTCGCTTGAAGGCGTGGGGGCTACCTGGATCCACGCCAATTCACAGAATAGCAATACATCCCTCGAAAGGTCGCGGAAAATGGATCGTAGTGGCTGGGGGCACTGGTCATGGAGAGCTCTCCGTTTGGGATTGCGAGAAAACCCAATGCAGAGAGGTCTACCGTGCTGGAGGTGGCAAGGATAGCGGGAGAGGATACGAGCCCTGGAATGTTGATGACGAGAACCCAGAGCAAATGTTGAGCCGTTTTGCAACCGCTCTTAACCACCTTGAACCCGGAGGATCTGGGGGTGTTGATAGAGGAGTTCGTGCTTTTGCAGTTGGCCTGGATGCATATGAGGAAACGCACGAGACGAGGGCGCCTCCTGGGTTTATTGTGAGCGCCGGCGCCGACAGGAAAATCAGGTTCTGGAATTGCAGCAAGGTAGAAGCTTCAATGGTTGTTAGTGGGCTTGATATGGAAGAGCCCAAACCCACATTCACGTCATCTCATCCCACAGCAACTCTAACACTTAATACCGAGAGGCCGCCACAACCCCTGTCTGGGGCGGACGCCACCGGGGTAAGGGGTGACCCTTCGTCCGCGTCTGGGTCGTCGAAGAAGAATAAAGCCACCGTAAAAACACCAAGGTCAACAGTTATCAGCTTGCAACAACAGCAGTTGTTGAAGGCACATCTTGATTCAATATTAGATGTAAGTTCATACAATGTCCACATTTCGTCTCGGGCAAAAAAGCAAGAAGGGGAGGGGGAAGATACTGAGAGCTGAACTACAACCACAGGTTGCATTTTTGGAGGTTCCGTACGGGATGATAGTCAGTGCTGATAGGAGCGGTGTTATTTTCATATATCAGTAGAAGGGAAGTGGGGACTTGGTGGAATCTACAGGTGGGGGAACGTGGCGTTTGGTGGGAAATTTAACTTTGATCTCTTGCCTTTGTTCCGAACTATTCTGTGGGGCTATTCAGCAAGGATGGGTGGGTGCATGGTGAAATGTGTATATCATGATATTCCGTTATAGAGGGTAAGAGCCAAAAACAGAGTATCCCGTTGCATAGTTGACAGTTCCAACATTTTGTCACTGGTGCTTGTGTCTGAGCGTTGTTTCACGTTTCCTCACTCGTTGGCCATTGGCCAAAAGCATGAAGGAATGATTGTCACAGGGATGGCCATGACAAGGCCTAAGTTATTGATTAGAGTAGAGTACCAGTACACCCTAGCTATAGTTACCCGGCGATAGGAGAGTTTGTCCTACTAAGATAGAAGTTCTCGAAGCTTCTCCAAGGGAGCCAGCCTCAGCCTCAAATCTCTTGTTTCTTCATTTATTTAATTAGGCTCGACCCTGTGCTACCGGTACTTGAAACCAATCCACATTCTAGTCTAGATATTCACCTTCCCATCCTCTAACTCCCCTATTGTCCACTACCGGGGCAAAAAAAAAAAAAAGCGGATACCAACTCTAGCACAACCCTTTATTTCCCCTCCCGTTATACTTCCAAACCATTGCAAATTGAAAGATATTGAAAATGACGCAGAAGTGTGCCCACAAAGGCTGTGGAAAGACATTCACGGATCCGGAGGAAGAATGCCACTACCACCCAGGAGCGCCCATATTCCATGAAGGCCAGAAAGGTAAGTTAATTTATATGGCCACCTCCGTGTGGACTCGCTCAGAAAAACACACTTTTTTTTTTATTTTATTTTTTTTAAAGAAAACCGTTGGAGCTAACTTTAAGCGTTATCCCAGGCTGGCAGTGCTGCAAAACAAGAGTACCACCCCCCGGCCTTCTTTCCCCGGAGACGGGAAAGCACTTATTGAGGCTAACATAATTACCTACCTGCCTACTCACCCACCCAGGTTCTCACCTTCGACGAGTTCCTCACAATCCCGCCATGTTCAGTCGGCAAGCACTCCGTCGACGCACCTATCTTAGCACCCGTACAAACATCCGGACCCGGATCACAACAGCAAAAACACCCCGAAGTCGCGCCTCCACCGGAGATTGGCTCGGACGGAACAGAAGTATACGGCCAACCACAGCCATTGCAGAGGAAGGCGCTCCCGAAAGTGGGTGCAGCATCGGGCACTCCTCCGCCGGAGAAGAAGGAGAAACCGTTGGAGCAAGATGATCCCAGTGTACCGGCTCCGCCGGGAGCTAGGTGCAGGAGGCTCGGGTGTGAGGCTACGTACGACGGTGGGAGCAGGGAGGATGAGGATGAGAAGTGTGAGTTTCATCCGGGGGTTCCGATATTTCACGAAGGTGCGAGAGATTTTTTTTTTTTCCCCCCTCTACTATTCTCGTTAACTATGAGGGAGGGGGAAGGGGAAGGGGAAGGGAAGGAGTTGGGGATGAATCAATGGATGGACATATGGAGCTAACGAGGCACCATTGGATATAGGATCCAAAGGTTACTCCTGCTGCAAGCGCCGTGTCCTCGAGTTTGATCAATTCTTGAAAATCCCAGGCTGTGCCACGGATAGACATCTATTTGTTGGGGCGCCCAAACCTGGTGATGATGAGGAGTTAGTCTCGTGCCGGTAAGTTACCTTCCCCCACCTACCCACATCCCACTACGAGTACTCCAGCCCTACATACCCCACCTCCACAAAGTCCGAGCTACGGAGGTGTGGAGAAGCGGAGGGTACGGTCTAGAGCCAGCGTAGTACTCGAGTATATGTGTGGGGAATGTCCGTCTATGCTCGAGTATAGGCACGGTGTGCATTGAGCCGACAGCTTACGGCTGAACTTTCTTTTTCAGAAACGACTTCTATCAAACATACACAGACGTCATCGTTTCTATTTTTGCGAAAAAGGTTGACAAGACCCGCGCGGAGGTTCACTTTTCAGAGAAACAGCTGGATGTGGACTTGCCTATGCCAGATAACAAGAGGTATAAGGTTAGCTTTCCGCTTTATGGAGCCATCGACCCGGCCGGTTGTGAATATAAAGTTCTTACGACGAAAATTGAGCTCAAACTCAAAAAAGGTAATATGCCGCCTTCTGCGTTTGGGGAATATATATGCATATATGCGAATTGATGCACTGACAATATTGGTCTAGCGGACGGACTGTCCTGGCCTACGCTCCGCAGCGACGAGGTCTCGGGTGAGATTATTCAGATTGGAAAGCCGGCCACTGCGTAGAGAGCGAAGTGGGGCATTGATCATGCCGTGTCGCGAAATATCTCTAGATAGATAGATAGATGAGAAATCGATGCTACAGTTGGCTATCGTTAGGTTCGCAGAAGCAATCCATACCCGGGTCTTACAGGCTCTGCCAGATTGTAGGAGACAGAGTGGAGAATTAAATTAAGTTTTCCCAATTAGCTGATTTAATCTGGACAAGCCAAGTTATGACCTGCCAGCGACAGGGCTTAAGCGGCGAAGGCAGTAGCGGTAGCACGTCCATTATACACCATGGTGTATAATAGAGTGCCCGGTATTCGAGAACAAATCTTTCCTTGGAGTTGGGTGGTCCAAGGTAGACTGTCATAGAGTGGCATAGATACACGTACGAGGCTGGCGACAAAAATCACCGATAGCAACCAACAATCTCGTGAATGAATGAATGATAAACTATTTCAAAGGAACAACAATAGCTCAACAAGCGAAGTAGGAAAATTCAGAAAAATCAAGCATAGTAGAGAAGATGAATAAGAATAACGAAAATGCATTAAAACTGTGTTTGCATCCCTTTCCATTCCTTGACTTGCATGAGCCTTACAGGCATACTATCTATATACTGGTTCCAAGCGGATGGCTGTAGATGATCCCACTCTTCCTGAACTGCCTTTCTCAAATCATGGATGTTTTGAGGAAAGGTATGCTGTGCCTTGATCCTTTGCTTGAGGATCCGCCACACATTCTCAATAGGATTGAGGTCAGGCGAAGAAGGTAGTTGATTGTGAAGCAGAATACGTAGTATATTTTTGGTCTCTCTTAACATCTAACCTGTTCCATGGATTGGAGCTTGGTCTTCGATATACTGAGCCTCTGGTGAAGCATCATACTCAAGGAGGTTTATAAAAGCTGAAGCAATAACAGGTTCAAGGACCTGATTCAAATAGTCTTAAGCAATTACTCCCAATGGACCTGTCCCTTAGAGGAAGACAAGAGGAGACTTCCAATCATAACTGGTTACCCCCCATACTATGAAGAATGCTCGCCCACAATGGAGACTATGTTACATGTAATGATCATGGTAGCACTCAGTTGGAAGTCAAGTTACCCAAATGCTCCCTCTCTGGAACGTGTCAAAAATGCACTCATCCGAAATCATATGCTTTTACCACCACTCAATTGACTTATTCATATGATTATCAGCATAAGCTTTACTCTTCAGCTGATTTTTGCAATTGATAAAAGACTTTTTACAAGTCTTGCAGCGAGAATAACCTTCCCGTTGTAAAGCTCACTTATGTAATGATCCCCATTCAGATAGTTTGTTCTTAGCAATAGGGAACGATACCTCTCTTCTTCTTTCTTCTTCACACCTTACAATAGCACTAGGTCTCTGTCCATGTTACTGATAGTACAAAACCTTTGTCTTCTATCGGGAATGCCGATTGTAAGTCTTCTCTAACTCTCCTTCTTGACGAGTATTCTTATCATAGTAGCAATAAATATTATGATAATGATAAAGAGTGTAAAGGTGTTTTATATTCATTAAAGTAATAAGTAAGGAAAGTACTTAGAAGTCAATCTAATTTTTATTTAAACTCGTACCGCTAACACTGGCATATGACGAGCCCCCGCCGGCACAGGGATACCGCTAACCGGTATACCACTAATCCTAGGCTAACTAAGTCTACGGTCCCGCACCTGCCATCCCCGAGTCATGCCCACACGGAAACTAATTACAAGACCATCAAACAACCCAGCGCCCTCCCCGGTCCGAGTCCATAGCCCCTCTGGTATGAAGCCAACCAGCACCAAGCGTAGCCGAAGCCGAGCAAGAGACCAACCCAACCAGGTTCCTCGTCCAACAAAATCAAAACCACTACTACTCGGTCTAAATACCGTCCCGCAACACCTCCACCACAGCAGAAAACCAACAACAAACCAAACCAAATATAAACTACAGGCGACACAATGGCAGAGAGGAGGTGACCAGCATGTCCACCTCTCGCATCCGCATGCCAGGCCGTCGACCCTATAAACCCACTTTGCCAAGTGCCTCCGAGGAGCGTAATGGTGAGGAGGACCTGTACCCGCTGCCTGTCCCCCAACATAAAACACATGAACAAAAGAAATACATAGAGGTGGTGACAGACCGAAATAGTCAGTGGGGCCTATCTCCCACCCGTGGTGCCTTGCCCCTGCCAGCCATGCCCATTGCCAAACCAAAGAAACCAAACAAACTTCCACAACACCCAGCACGCAGAACCCAAACAAGTCCAACCAGGTGGTCGCAATCCACTATCCGCACAGGTGGCCATCAGTCCAGCGGTCCGCCGGGGAGCTTTACAGCACTCAGCAACTTCGCCCAGCTGCCCAAACCGGTCCGGAAACACTTAATTAGACATCGCCCAACCTGACGCATGTCCGACCGGTGCTCGCAGGTGCCTCTCCTCCCCCAATCAGCCCCCCCCAAGCCCCACACACCAGACACCACAGAGCCCATCCAGTCCCCCCAGCCCCTCAGACAGAACAACCATCCGATGGCCACAGGACAGCTAATACCCAGCCCTGCCAGGCAGCCATTGATCTTGGCCACACAAACAGAGCCCCAACCCCCAGCACCATATAGCCGAGGGGGGCCCACCAGCCACAGCCGGCAGCCACAAAGGAGGCAGCACTCATACCCGAAGGCACAGGCACCGGCCACACCATCCAACCCAGCCGAACCGAAATCCAACCGAGTCGGGAAGAGTAAGCAGAGCCAGCCAAAGCCAGCCCCACAGGTCCGGCAACAGACACGGACCGAACAACGGGCAAGAGGCATCCCCAACTGACGCGACAAGATGGAGAAGGGCGAATGAACAGAAGCAGACAAACGGAAGGTAGGCCCCACTTACAATGGGTGAAGCCGCCAACCACAGACCACAACTGAACCACCCAGACGCACAGACAACGCGAGTGCCTGGCAGCCAATCGTCCCACACCACCCCAGGCGGCAAAGAAAAACCACTCCAGGGGGTAAGGTTTTTCAGGGTCAAAGCCATCCCCACTGTAGCTAGGAGGTGATACCTGACTGAACCACCGTATATGCCGCAAGGACAAAACTTCCAAGGGAACGGTGATAAACAACATCGTAGGATTCCGACCGTAGAAACATAAAGTAACGAGGCAGGGAGGGGCCGGTAAGGCCCCCTCCCTTGAGGAAATGATGCGGCCAGTATGACGAGTTGATACTTGGGAAGGTCATCAGTCTAACCCAAGGGCGTTTTGTATCGCATGAACTAAGGACTCCGTTAAAACCCAACAAAAGACATGAGCTGGCCCAAAGAACGACACGGGTGATCCCCCCAAACACAATGTTCAATCCCCCCAATCGAACGCGAAACCTGCGAGTAGACGATAGACAGGAAGCCGTAGACATTTTACCGAAAAGGGCTCGTATGCGACCGTGATGAGTGCTCAAAGTGCTGGTATCGTGAGATAACCAGTCCAACGAAACGAGACACAAACAAGTTATCCGCCACGCAACACCTAACAGACCTCAACACCAAAGACCCCAGGAACTACTGAGCGAACTCAGATATCTCCCCCAGAATCCAAGGCATTAAGGCCCATCATGATGGCGAAAGAAACGCTCGAGGCGAAGCGACGGCAAGGACGAGGAAAAGTACTTAGAACAAAGCGTGAAGAACTTATCCTCCTCGGCTGCATCGATCTCCTTATATAGTGTTCTTCCTGCCCATAGTCTTGTGACCCAAAGTGGTCACATGTGCGAAACCAAATCATAACAAACTAGTCATGTGACCAAGATGGTTGGATGCTCAAAACCCATGATCTCATAGTGTAACGTATTCGAAAGGTGCTAATTATGTTATCGGTAATAGATACGATAGTGGGCAGATAGCTTGCTCTTCCAGACAGGAGGCGAGAGCTGAGAACTAAAGGAGGCTTCGAGGGTGTACTGAGGAATAAAGAAGTAACCGTTCAACCAAGTATATTGAAATACTGTCTGTCAAATTCTATCTTTTCCATTGTGGAATCAGGTGGTCTTTAAATACACAATTCTTGTTCATGTCTAACATGAACGAAACTAATCAAAGGTATCAATCGATACACTTTGGTAAAACTAATTAAGTATCAAAGCGATAGTTAAAACATAACATAAAATAAAACCAAGTATCAAACAATACTTAAAACAAACCAAGTATCAAAGCGATACTTAAAACAAAACATAAAACAAAACCAAGTATCAAACAATACTTAAAACAAACCAAGTATCAAAGCAATACTTAAAACAAAACATAAAACAAAACCAAGTATCAAACAATACTTAAAACAAACCAAGTATCAAAGTGATACTTAAAGCAAAACATAAAATAAAACCAATAACTGAGTACCCAACTGGTTACATTCCCCAAAATAAAACAATTGTTTAAACAAATAAAATCTAATAATCATCAAAAGTAGAGTCCAAGAAACTAAAGGCTTCAGTTTCCACTATCAGCTCTTCATCATAAGTGTCACACCAGGGACAAGAGAAAATCCTAAGAAAACATCAAGACTCAAAGAAATACAGGTTACAGTAGTCACGAATACCAGATTCATGCTGTACATCAACCCAAGCATTATAGCAATCCGGACAGTAGTCTATCCAGAGAATGGCGAAGTAGTCTTCAAGTTGGATAATATCACGGTTCAACAACAGTCCAACAACTAGTTGTCGTAACCTCACCTTGAGTTCCACATAGTTTGACATGGTTATGGTATTCGGATAGAGGGTGATGGTCAGATAAGGTTATCCAGAGCCTATTCCATAGCCTGATTTTCATCATCGCTGCTTTCGAATTCTGACTCAAAGTATGGTGCCCAGAATCCATCTCTAGCTTCAAGTTCTATCTGCCATCACTCAGTCTCTGGCATTGTTAGTGTGCAGTACATGGTAATGTAATTGATCATTAGGGGGAGAGATTCGTTTGGCATGTTGTCTTTCTACCAATGGTTCACTATATGCATAGTGTGCTCTAGTCTTTCTAGCGGTTCCCAGCTGTTTTCGCTTGCTGAGTATCCTTTCCATTTGACCAGGAACTGATCATTCCCATGCCAAAGACG